CAGGACGCTATCCATACTGGATCCAGGAAAATATTGGCCAAGTCTAGAGCATTTATTTATAAAAGAAACAATAAATACTGACTTCTAGGCTCTCTTCTTGGGAATAAATCTGACTTGACCATCTGCTAGTGCCCAGCCTGAGGACGAGGATGAGTACCCCGGTGGGCTACACTATAGTGGTGCTGGGTCCAGTGAGAGGCCAAGATGAGGAAGGGACACATACACTTTGTTTCATCCAGTGTGGATACAAATATCATGTGATTACTGATGTCTCATGGCCAAAGACCTGAGCCCAGAGCACTATAAATGCTGACCCGCCAAGGAGAGATGGGGATGGGAAGGGTTTGGATGGATTTCTTTCCTTGTGTGAGTCCTAATTTCAAGTACGTGTATGAGTGACTCAGGAGGCATTAGTTCACAAAAAGCCAAGTTCAGGTATTTCATATTACAAAATGTCTGTTGGATCAGAACTATAGATGGAGGCTAAATACATTTCGTCAAAAAAAAAAGGAACATTAAAAGTCTTCTTTTACAGCTAAAAAACGAAAAATGGAAGAAATTCACACTTTGTATTTTCCTAATGTTTATTTTATTAGGTTTCATTTCAGAGCAATGGAACTGTGTTGCATATTTTAAAATATTAAGAATAATCTTTTTTAAAAAAATGACGGGACAGCCCGGGGGGCTCAGCGGTTTAGTGCTGCCTTCAGCCTGGGGCGTGATCATGGAGTCCTAGGATCAAGTCCCACGTCAGCTCCCTGCATGGAGCCTGCTTCTCCCTCTGCCTGTGTCCCTGCCACTCTATGTGTGTCTTTCATGAATGAATAAATAAAATTTTTTATTTTATTTTTTAATAAATTTATTTTTTATTGGTGTTCAGTTTACCAACATACAGAATAACACCCAGTGCTCATCCCGTCAAGTGCCCCCCTCAGTGCCCGTCACCCATTCACCCCCACTCCCCACCCTCCTCCCCTTCCACCACCCCTAGTTCATCTCCCAGAGTTAGGAATATTACTCAGCCATTAGAAAAGACAAATACCCACCATTTGCTTCAACATGGATGGAACTGGAGGGTATTATGCTGAGTGAAGTAAGTCAATCGGAGAAGGACAAACATTATATGGTCTCACTCATTTGGGGAATATAAATAATAGTGAAAGGGAATATAAGGGAAGGGAGAAGAAATGTGTGGGAAATATCAGAATGGGAGACAGAACATAAAAATTTTAAATAAATAAATAAACAAATAAAATACTGACAATTATAATCCTTTATGGAAAGGATTCTTCTTTCCTAATATCCTGATTTTAATTGTATCCTACCAACGAATATATGTGGAAATTGTAGATCTCAGAACTTAAGAATGTGACCTTGTATGGAAAAGGGATGTTGCAGATGTAATTAGTACAGATGCGGTGATGAAGGGGGTGGGGTGACCTCCTAATTCAATTAGTTCCTTTGCTTATATAATGACAGTCAGTTGGAGACAAGGAGAGTGGAGACAGAGATTGTGGTTCTGCAGCTGCAGACAGGGAGCCCCAAAAATTGTCTTCAAATTTCTTACAGTTATGGAGAGGCAAGAAGGACCGTTTGCAGGTTCCAGACAGATCATGGCCCTCCCTACAGACTGTGGAGGTGTGTATGAGCAGTAGAAATGCATTTTTATTGCTTTGAACCACCAATTTTGTGGTGCCTTATTATGGCAGCCCTAGAAAAATAACATATCTAAAAACCAATATATAGATACAGGAAATGTCACTAATAAGTGTATTAAAACTGAACAATTGAATTATTTCTCAATTATAAAATTGGAAGATATTAAATTTGACTTAATCCACTGAAATTCTCTGCTATAATAGGAAATCTTATACTTTAATGATAAGAGTATAAATTGGTAAATCAATTTTGGAACATAAATTTTAAATACTTATCAAATATTAAATACATATATGATCTGCATGAGTGTTACAAATTTTTGAAATCAGTTCTAATGAAAATTATCTAGCTAATACACTCCAAGATAAATATACAGGTACATCTACTTAAAACATGTTATAATAACAAATATTTTTTATTGGAGTTCAATTTGCCAACATATAGAATAACACCCAGTGCTCATCCCTCCAAGTCCCTCCCTCAGTGCCCATCACCCAGTCACCCCAACCCCCTGCCCACCTCCCTTTCCACCACCCCTTGTTCGTTTCCCACAGTTAGGAGTCTCTCATGTTCTGTCTCCCTCTCTGATATTTCCCACTCTTTTTCTCCCCTTTCCCGTGTATTCCCTTTCACTATTTTTTATATTCCCCAAATGAATGAGACCATACAATGTTTGTCCTTCTCCAATTGACTTACTTCACTCAGCATAATACCCTCCGGTTCCATCCACGTTGAAGCAAATGGTGGGTATTTGTCGTTTCTAATGGCTGAGGAATATTTCATTGTATACATAAACCACATCTTCTTTATCCATTCATCTTTCGATAGACACTGAGGCTCCTTCCACAGTTTGGCTTATAATAACAAATAATTGAAACCAACAAGAATATTTTTCTGTAGAAAAGTTGAGAAATTATAGTAAATTATCCTATGGATTAATGATGAGCTATGAATCAAAATGAGACACATCCTAATGCTTGTCAAAAATCAGTACTTATGTTTTCTAAGGAGAAATGTAATTACAGAAAAAAACAAGATTATGTTATGTAATATATATATGTGTTGTGTATGTGTGTATATGTGTGGGAGTGTGTGTATATAAATTACTATATGGGATCCCTGATGGCTCAGCAGTTTAGTGCCTGCCTTCGGCCCAGGGTGATCCCAGGGCCTAGATGCTGAGCCCAGGATAGGGTCCCATATCGAGCTCCCTGCATGGAGCCTGCTTCTCCCTCAGCCTGTGTCTCTGCGCCTCCCTCTCTCTCTCTCTCATGAATAAATAAATAAAATCTTTATAAATAAATAAATAAATAAATAAATAAATAAATAAATAAAGCACATCCTCGAGAGTGTTATCAGTTAGCCCTTGAGGAAATATGTGACAGTGGAACTGAGGATGCGTTGGTAAAATATTAACTTTTGTAAAGGATTTTATTTCTTTATTTGAAATAATGAGTGGGTGAGAGAGCATCAGCAGGGAGAGGATCAGAGGAAGAGGAAGAAGCAGACTCCCTACTGAGCAAGGAGCCCAATGCAGGGCTCTATCCTGGATTTCTGGGATCATGATCTGAGATGAAGGCAGACACTGAACCAACTGAGCCACCCAGGCTCCACATAACAATTTTTTAGATCATTTAAAGCAATGTTATTTATTTATTTATTATTTATTATTTTTTAATAAATTTATTTTTTATTGGTATTCAATTTACCAACATACAGAATAACACCCAGTATAGAGCAATGTTATTTAATATCAACCTTTGTACTGAGCAAAAATTTTAAAAGTAGAACAAAAATATCTTAAACGTATCAACAAGTCATTACAAAATAATTCATGTAAGGGTCATATCCAAGAATAAATGAAAATCCACAGAAGTAACCAAGAACAAAGGACATGTCATCCCTGAAAGCATGATATTCTCTATGCAAAGACATATAAAAGCCAAGACATGCACATGGGGGCTGGTGAACCTAACAGGACACCCTGACAACAGTAACAAAAACCAAGTAATTCAGCCTATAAGGGTAACCCAAATAGACTTACCAAGGTTGAACCAATGTGTTTCTCTAGAGACTTTATATCTTGAGCTTACTTCAAGTTCATTATGTCCCAGTAATGAAACCAGGGACAAGGGAGATGGAAACTCCAGTATCAGAAAATCCTGAAACACACTGTGACATAAATATTCCAGTTAGCTGTCTAAATGACAGCATTGATGCCCTGGAAAAATGAATGGCTCAACCCCACAGAGCTGATCTGCTCATTCTACTGTCCTGGGTGGTGACATCAGAGGTCCACCTGCAAAGGTCAGAGGCCTTTCTGGGAGGGATAGCCCACATTGGGCTCCCTGCATGGAGCCTGAAGCCTGAAGGTTGATACGGACTGCAGGACATGGTGTCTGAGGACAGCAAGGGGTGTGAGTGGGCTGCTCCTGGGAGTCAGGGTCTGGGTGAGGAAGACCAGAAAAATCTATCACTGGCCCCTGCATACTAAGGCAAGCAGGGTCCTCACTGTGGATGATAAGCCTGCATCTACAGCCCTGGAGCCAAAAGATATCTCAGCTCTGAATCACACAGGCCTCATAATTCATCCTCTACTACATCATGGAGTAACCTGTCCAGACATGATTTTCATAGAAATAGAGATGGACAGAAGAATCATACAATACAATCATCAGCAGAACACAAAGGGAAATGGCATTCAAAATGCTCCAAAAGCATCAATTGTTCACACAATGTCATGTTCATTTCTGATAAAGAGACATCCCTGTTCAGCTCCCCGGGGATTACTGCAGACCAGGTCCATGATTAACTGAGAGGAGACCACTGCCCCTACCTCTGTCACAGGGGCTCTGAGATTCCCAGTGTCCTCACTGCTAGAAGAGGCACCGCTAAGACCCTCCAAGGACAAAAGAGGGAATGTCACTGGGGAGGGAAGAAAATGTTGGAGGGATGGTTTGGTTAGCTTTGAGGTGAATTAGATGTGGGGCCAGGAGGTGAGAACACATCCAACTCCTCATTCAGCTCTCAGGCTTTCCAGAGAAGAACCTTGGGACAGAGGTCACTAGAGACAGTATGGTGGTAATTTGCTGACAGATGTCCTCCTGACACCTAGTGTCTCAGGTCACCCTGCAGTCATTTGTGCATGTGAAGTCCCAGAATCTGGTCATTTCAAGATCTCCCAGGGGACATGCTGGTAACTCTAGGGCAGGGAGAGAGAGGAAGCTGATTTGCATGAAGCGCTTTCTTATCCTCATAGGACAGGAGACATGAAAAAGTCCAGGGACACTTCATTCCAGCTGAGGAGACTGAGGAGCCTGCAGTCTGTGAGGGTCCCCACCATGGCCTGGATGGTGCTTCTTCTTGGGTTCCTTGTCTATGGCTCAGGTCAGGGAAAAGACTTTGCATCTGTGGGGAGCACATAAAACAGGGACTCATGTGACCCTTGTCTCCCATAACAACACCTTTCTCTCCTCTTGATTTTAGAAGCAGATTCTCAGACTGTGGTAACCCAGGAACCGTCACTCTCAGTGTCTCCAGGAGGGACAGTCACACTCACATGTGGCCTCAGCTCTGGGTCAATCTCTACAAGTAACTACCCCAACTGGTACCAGCAGACCCAAGGCCGGGCTCCTTGCAGGGTTATCTACAACACAAACAACCGCCCCTCTGGGGTCCCTGATCGCTTCTCTGGATCCATCTCTGGGAACAAAGCCGCCCTCACCATCACAGCCGCCCAGCCTGAGGACGAGGCTGACTACTACTGTTCATTGTATATGGGTAGTAACATTTACACAGTGATTTAAATCTAGGAGGAAGTGCAGCCAAAACCTCCTCATGGGCTCAGAAATGCTCAGCTTTCAAGAGAGGAGAGAAAGTGAGATGGGAAAAGAGTCAACACCACCATGGGAAGTGCAGCTCCCTGGTCACGTTCTCCTGGTCAGTGGTTCATGGCAATGAACCTCATTTATCTCTCCCAAGGTGTCTCTATCTCTCCAATGTGACCTTCCAAGACTGTGCTTCCTTGCTCCCTCTCTGTCTAAAATGTTGAGGAGTGGGGCTTCCCTTCCATTATACGTAAACCAATACGGAGGCCCAATCTACTCTTTCAATATGGTCTATTAAACATAGAGCCTTGGTAGATCTCATTTTGTTCGCTAATTTGATGATGAGGACCAAATTAATATTTACATCATGTGGAGCTTGATAAACTGTAATCCTCCATGTTGTGCTTCCAAATCTGAAACCAGTGTCGGTGTTCATAGATGAATATTTAACAAGCATTCCAGAGATTTGTATGGAAGATAGTGTTTAAGAAGCATCTATGATTGTATTAACATGAAATTAGTTCTGAAAATATCCCCTTAAATGCAAAGAGAGTGACATCTTCTAACATAATCATTCCCACATCCCATTAACCATCCAAGAACACTGAGAAACAGATTCAGAATTGCAGTCCATTTGTGGTCACAACAGCCTGTGTTGGAGCAGTGCATGCTGTGACATGAAGAGGTGACGGACAATACGTGACCTGTAGATGTCAATGTGTAATTCAGCCTGGACACTGTACGATTTGAGCATCATGGTTCCTGACTATCATGGGCTCTCAGGGAAATATCAAGAGACATAAGATAGCATAATTTTTACCTGTTTGGTGGCTCCTTCTAAATAATGTTATGCAACACTTGACATTATACTTGGATGGTTTCTATTTATTTTTAAATGCATATATTTATTAAATATTAGTAAAATAATCTCTATTGTAATAAAATTAATATTTGAGTTCTTTTTACATCAACAATGATTAGGGGTACCTGGGTGGTTCAGTTGGTTAAGCATCTGTCTTCAGCTCAGATCATGATCTTGGTGTCCTGGGATTGAGCTCCTCATTGGACTCCCTGCTCTGCTGTGAGCCTGCTTTTCCTGGCCTCTGCCTGGCTCTCCTCCTGATTGTGTGCACTCTCTGAGATCAGAGATCGCTCTGTCAAATACATAAATAAAATATTTAAAATAAAAAGAAAAATAAACAATGATATTAAACATAAAGGAAAATTACAGCCAAGTAAAGTAGAGACATGGACATAATTTGTGCACTGTAGATTATGTTTAAGGAATGAGGAATCACTTTAACTCATGCTTCCCAGCACTTACGCCAAATTATTTGTTCATATCTGACATCCTTGCTACAAAGATAACTCCAGATTCAAAGGCTTCTCTAGGGAACTCCTTCAAAAATTCAAGGAGAAAATAATGAGAATACTACAGAGAAGCAGGGAGGAATGAACAATTGTGAGTATAGATTATAAAGCTTATTTTCATTTATTATATACCCAGACCGAATTTTCAAAATAAAAGAAATTAAAAATCCATAAGTTTCATGAAGATAGGAACTGAAATATAATGAAATATTTGCAAATACAATCTAACAGATTATCAAGAGTGGTCACCTTAGACATTTAATTTGTGTTACATTTAAAATCAATCAACTTGTCAGGCATCCTGCTCAGCAGAGAGCCTGCATCACCTTGCAGCCCCCACGCTCATCTCTCTCTCTCTCTCTCTCTCTCTCTCTCTTTCTCTCCCAATTCTTTCTCTTTAATAAATAAACAAATCTTTTAAAGATAAAAAAGAAAATCAGTTGATGTAATACATTCTATAAGAGAATAAATAAAAATATGGGCATCTAAATAAATGCACCAAGACTCATCTGAAACATTCATCCTAAAGTTGTCTGAGGGAAGTGGGTGCTCATGGTCATAGATCTTTTACTTCAGGTCCCTATGAGTCTAGAGATTTGGTGACTATTTGCACATATACCAAGTTAGTTTGGGGCCCAATGAGAACATGATTTCTGCACCCCCATCCCAGGCGTGTGGAAACAATGATAAAACATCACACTCATCGTCCAAATGAAGGAAAGCAAAGGGTAAGAAACTACAAATGAAAATAATTGGGTACAGTATAAACTGTGTGAAGCAACAAAGTATCCTGAGAGGAATTGGAAAACACAAATGCACAGAAACCATGCACTTAGGAGATATGTCTCACTTCCAAACCTAAAGAGCTATGTCTAATATTCACCAGTAAATGTTCCACTGGGCAAAGCTTTTTGCTTTTCACAAATCACTCGGTCATATCTGATCCTGAACAAATTGTAACAGCATTGCTTGAACTTTGAAATCATTGCTGATCTAGTGTCTTGGAAATAAGCCATGGGGCTTACTTCCTGGATTGTATCCAACTCCAACAATCCCTCAAAATCCCCTACAAGCCCCTCAAACCAGTCCCACTGTCCTCTAATCAGTATTGCTTGGCAGGATATATACTTAACTTTCACCTTGTGGTAACTTCTCTGGTGACACATTAATTGGCTATTTCTGTACATGTTTGTTCTTTCCATAGAGAAGCATCGCTTCAGAGAATGAGGAAGCAGAGTAATCGTGTGCAGAGATTACGAATCATGGTATCTAGAGATCAGACATGGGAGTGTGAATAGACAGGGGCCTGGTGAGCTGGTGAAAGCCCTTGGGCTCCCAGGGCTTTGGTCCCAGATGGGGTGGGTGCCTGTGACCAGCAGGGGGAGGTGTGGGCCCCTGTGCCCTACATAACTGCTCAGTGAGGACCCTTCACTCAAGGGAGCTGGGACATGTGTGCTGAGCCCTCTGCTCACTGATGGGGACTCAGCAGCTGTGTCCTCTCAGGCCTGGAGGAGTCCCCTGAGCAGGGACTGCGTGTGGTCTCAGCAGGTGTTTCCTCCAGGGCTCTCCCCAGGGGGGAAGCCAACTCCCAAACTCCACAGTGTGGTGTGAGCTGAGCTACAGCACCAGGGCTCAGGGAGGGGCTGGGAAATCACTAGATGGGCTTCATTTGCATGGACATCCTCTAGTAGAAAATAATGGGGGATAAAAGGAGGTTTCTCCGGAAGCCCACCTGATGTGAGGACAGTCACCACAGCCTGTACTCCTGTCTCCTGATGTACTTCTCTCAGCGCACAGGTAGAGACAGGCCTCACATACCAGGTCCCAGTTCCTAGGCTCCGTCAGTCCCTCTGGCTCATATACTGGGAAGCTTTCTCTGGTTGCTGCTCCATTACCCATCAGTGTCTGTGTTTGCAGGTCCCTGTCCCAGCCTGTGCTGACCAAGCACCCTCCCTCTCTGCATCTCCTGGAACAACAGTCAGACTCACCTGCACCTGGAGCAGTGGCTCCAGCATTGGCAGCTACTATATACACTGGTTCCAGTAGAAGCCACAGAGCCCTCCCTGGTATCTCCTGTACTACTACTCAGACTCAGATAAGCACCAGGGCTCTGGGGTTCTCAGCTGCGTCTCCTGATCCAAGGATGCCTCAGTTATTGGAGGGCACCCTCATCTCTGGGCTGCAGCCTGAGGACTAGACTGACCTTCACTGTCTAATCGGAAACAATAATGCTTCTCACAGTGACACTGGCAGATGGAGACATGGGACAAAATCCATCACCAGTTCAGATTCTTCTTCCATGAAAATATATACCGTGTAAAATAAGTTATATATATATATATATATATATATATATATATATAATGTGTACTTACAATAACACCCAGTTCATAATGAACCTATTCTCAATTATCTCTTCACGTTCTATATGTCCTCAGAAATAACAAAACAAGAATAAAACAAAACACTCCAATGTCATAACACTCATGTTACCTGGGTTTCCAAATGTCATAAAGCCAGAGTCTATGCTGCTAAGTTTTTTCTCCTGAAATGAGGATAATGGGACTTTATTTGATTTTATTACCCTCAGAGGTCCAGGACCATATCAGCAGGGGGGCAGTCCTCCCCAGCATGGATTCAGAACCTCCAGAACTCAAAGCAGAGCCCTCCCTTCCCTACCAGGCTCCAGTGCTCAGGAGTGGCCAAGGTTCACTGTGTCTTAGGCCTGAACACTAGGATGTGGGATGTTGTGTGAGGACACAGGTCCTGGGCAATTCCATTCTCAGAGCTGGACAGGATCCCTCACTCAGCAAGTGAGGTTTGGGTTGTACAGTTGAGGAGAAGGGGTCAGTCAAAGTCAGAATTTTGGCCTCTGGCCATGAACCTTTTATGGGCTATGAGATTTGCGGGATGTTGCGTCATTATTAGGAAAATGCTCAGCCTGCATCAGTGAATTTGGGTGATGTGGGTGAGTGAATGAGCCTCTGCTATACCTGCCACCAGGTTGATGGGGACTCCTGTGAGTGGGTGTCCTGAGCCCACAGGTACTGACTCTATCACCTTCTTCCCTTATTCCCCATTGGAGATTTTCCATAATCCTGGGCTGTAGGCGCTGTGGACATCAAGAGTAAGAACTCTTCCATGTGCACAAGTGTCACTCCTCTAGGGAAACTCTTGATGACCCCAGATCCAAGGTCACCTTCTCTTGCACAAGAGCAGTAGAAACACACAGGTTACCATGGCAATGTTACCACAGCTCCCAGGCAGAGATCCTATATTGTGACCCGGAACAGCATTGAGAGACCAGCCAGGGATTCGAGCCTAAATTCCAGAACCAGGTGTGTTGACAATAATGTCTTCGACCACCTTCGGCTGCCACCTGGGGAGAGATGATCATCATCATTGCTGTAGAGCCGCATACAGTCAATATCACACAGAGAACTTCTGTTTCTTCTGTGATAACTTCTACTCTTCACGTCTTTTTTTTTCATTTTATTTATTTATTCACAAGAGAGTCGGAGAGAGAGAGGCAGAGACACAGGCAGAGAGGCAAGCAAGTTCCATGCAGAGAGAGAAATGGGGGACTGGATCCCGGGTCTCCAGGATCA